GATTTACGAACGCGAAATGCGATCACTGCGAAAAAGGAAGAGCGAACGCTGACTGCGACGGAGAGAGTGATGGAGCGAAGAATGCTTGGCGCATCTCCCTGCGACTATGAAAACACTCAGACTCTCCGTCAAATGAGCGACTTTTAGGATATCACTGCGATCACGCAAGAAAGTAAAATCCGATGAGCAGGACATGTCGCTCGCGTTGCCGACAAAAACTATGGATGATGCACATTAGTGAGTGACACTCACAAGAAAGCAAACGACCACTCGGATGACCACCGAAGAGATGGAGCACATACATGGCACAGGTAGTAAGTACTAACTGGAGGTATGCGATTCAGGTCCGAAAGCTCTGGCTTAGCTGTACTTGGCATATGGGAGCATCCCATTAACATTATTAACAAGGTTTAAATACTTTCGATCAAAAATACAGTAAAATTAGAAGTTACTGTTACCGTGAGATTATTAAGCTCGAAAAAACACTTCAGCGAGTATCAAACGATTTACCTCATACGAAATTTCTCTGCTGCTATCAGCCAATGCACCACTCGGAGGTTTCCAAGCAATGGTAACGCCATTTTCCTGTACACCCTCGATCCTAAGGCCACTTATAATAAGAGGTACCAGCGGTCTGCAAACAGATTTTTTCAAAATGCTGATGAATTTCCACTCAAATTTGAGTTACAAAAATGGGTACATCTCAGCCAACTCAATTTTTCTCAAATTCTTTTTTTTTAAACGGACCGTGTAGTGAATTCGGCCACTCCATACTGACCAAGCGTGGACACCATTTTCGAAACTTTATTTTCGGCAAAAATTAACACCGTATAAGTGACACCAGCTTTGAGACCAGACAATTCCAAGCGTCGTACTGTAAATGTATCACCGGATGGACGGGCATGTGTTGTTACGGGACATTCGGAACACTGATAACGGTACCACAATTCCTTCAAATCAAAAATTATTTCAAAAACCAAATTTTTCCATCGATTTGGGAGAAAGATTGTTGCACGGAACTG